ATAACCATAACTAGCGGCGACAAAGTCGCCGCACACCAACCTAATCTAGTTGGTAACTAATAAAAATAACCAATGGTCAAATTTTATTTAAAAATAATTATCATTACATTATTTGTCGACCATCATTAAAAACTAAACTAACTGAAAACAGATTAATTTTTTTTTTTAAAAAAAAAATATTGATGTTTAAAATCGAACTAACTAAAACAGATTTAATTTTATTGCTAAACAACTGAACTAACTTTATTAAATCATATTGCCTCGTTGCCTTGTTTGTTTATTAGGCTTTTGTTTATTGCGTCTATAAAATTTTATGGAAACGGACTTTAATATAAATTAGGATAGCGTTAATTAATCAGGGCTAAACTACAGCGCCTATTTATATATAAATCAAGAAAATTAAGATAATTCTTTTTGCGATTAACTTGATTCAAAAAATTTCTTTACAGCGAAAAAAAGAGTCTTTAATATGGCTCGTAAACGAAAATTTAGTAAGTAAAATAAAATAATCAAATATTCCTGTCAACTGTCTTTAACATTACTTTTAATACTTTAACATTAGCACTATCCAGCAAATTAGCTGCGGCGGTAGCAGCTGAAAGTCTGTTACATAAATTTCATATTATTAAATTCTTTTTTTTATTTACTTATATTGTTTTATCTTCTTTCTTCTTTTTTTTGAAATATTTACAGATAATTCATTAAATGATAAGCAAATTCAACTCCGGTAGCAACAACTTCAGCAACAAAAACGATAAAGTAAGAAGCAAAATACTGATCAGAAAGCGGTAGAAGATCCAAACCCGGTTCCCGCCAATTCAACAAAAATAAAGAGAACTAAAAGACAATATAATAAAAAGAAAAAGAAACAGGAACCTTTGGGGGATTCAAGCCTGGTTCCAGCAAATAATCCGACTTCTGCACAAAACCAACAGGAATTGTCAGCGAATTCTTTACCAAACAATGGTAACGAAGCTGATCCGATTCCTGCACAAAACCAATAGAAATCATCAGCAAATTCTTTATTATCAAACGAAATAAGCGCGGATCAATGGAAATCATCGCCATATATTTTATCAGATGACGATGAAGATTTAAGTTCGTCTGTTTCTGTTGTGACATTACTTAATAATAACAATAATAGTGGACAAGATTGTCTTCGTGTACAAGAATTATTTCGAAA